TCTTCTTCTGCTTATATGGTTGAGTCAATTTCTTTGTGGCACGCTAGACTAGGACATGTTAATGTCGCGTATATAAAGAAAATGCAGTTGGTATGATTAATATCTAGTTTAGACTCAAATAATATTAACAAGTGTGAAATATGTGCTGAAGCTAAAATTACTAGAAAGACCTATTTTTCCGTAAATAGAGAAACTGAATTGTTATCTTTAATTCACACTGATTTAGGCGACTTGATGCAGACTATGACTAGAGGTGATAAAAGATACTATGTGACTTTTATTGATGATTTTTCTAGATATACTAAGTTGTATTTGCTTAGAAATAAAGATGACGCATTTAATGCTTTTATTTCTTATAAAACTGAGGTTGAAAATCAACTTAGTAAAAAAATTAAGAGAATTAGATCAGATAGAGGTGGAGAATATTTATCTTTAAATAAATTTTGTGAAAATAATGGAATTATTCATGAAGTAACTCCGCCTTATTCACCTGAGTCAAATGGAGTAGCTGAAAGAAAAAATAGAACATTGGAAGAGATGATGAAATCTATGTTAGTTAGTTCTAATGCTCCTGATAATTTGGGGTGAAGCTATTTTATTTGCATGTCACTTACAAAATAGAATACCACATAGAAGAACTGGCAAAACTCCGTATGAATTATAGAAGGGTTATAAACCTAATTTAAAATATTTAAAAGTGTGGGGGTGCCTGCATATAGATTCCTTGTTTTGAAAAGTGATGTGCTTGATTGCAATACTATAATTGAAACAAAGAATGCTAAGTTCTTTGAATATATTTATCTACTGTCTGATAAAATTTCTCATACACTCGTTGAAACAAATAGAGAAATTACCTCTAATGAGGAACTGAGAAGGAGTAAAAGACCTAGGAAAGAATATTTTTCTTATGGAAATCGTTTTCAGACTTTTCTAGTCGATAATGAACCATCAAATTATTTTGAAGCTCTATCTTCTTCAGATGCTAAATATTGGAAAGAGGCAATAAAAATTGAAATTGATTCTATTAAGAAAAATAATACATGGATTTTAACTGATTTACCTCCTGGTGCAAAACCTATTGGTTGTAAATGGATTTTCAAAAGAAAATTTAATCCTGATGGATCTTTAGATAAATAAAAAGCTCGGTTAGTAGCAAAATAATTTTCTCAAAAATAAAATATAGATTATTTTGATACATTTGCACCAGTGACTAGAATTTCTTCTATTCGAGTTTTAATCGCCTTAGCTTCAATCTGTAAGCTTTTTATCCACCAAATGGATGTGAAAACTGCTTTTCTAAATGGTGATTTAGAAGAAGAGATTTATATGGTTCAACCTGAAGGCTGAGTCATTCCTGGACAAGAAAATAAATTTTGTAAATTAATTAATCTTTATGGCCTTAAACAAGCTTCTAAGCAGTGATATGAGAAATTTGAGCAAGTCTTACTGAGAGACGATTTTTCTTCAGTTGAGGTGGATAAATGTGTTTATATTAAAGTGGTAGACAATGATTATGTGATAATATGTATGTATGTTGATGACATGCTTATATTTTGTACAAGTTTAAATATTGTGCAAAGTACTAAATTATTTATGTCTGCTAATTTTGATATGAAAGATCCGGGTGAAGTAAATTTGCTATTGGGAGTTAAAGTTATGAGGAGTGAAAATGACATAATGTTGTCACAAGAACATTATGTTGAGAGACTTTTTAAGAAGTTTGAATATTTTAATGTCACATCTGTGAGCTCTCCTTTTGATGCTAACTCTAAGTTGAAAAATAATAATGGTGACTCAGTTGCTCAGTCTAAATATGCTCAAATTATTGAGAGTCTAATGCATTTAATAAATTTTACAAGGCCTTGATATAGCCTATGACGTGTGTAGACTGAGCAGATATACTCATAATCCCAACAGAGAGCATTGGTCTGCATTAGATAGACTAATGAAATATTTGAGAGGAACCATGAATTATGGTATCCTATATAGTAGATTTCCTTCTACTTTAGAAGGGTTCAGTGATGCAAACTGGATCTCCGATTCAGATGAGACAAAATCCATTAGTGGTTATGTATTCACCCTTGGTGGTGGTGCAATATCTTGGAAATTAGCTAAATAGACGATCATTGCTAGATCGACTATGGAATAAGAGTTTGTAACTCTGGAATTAGCTGGTTCTGAGGCTGAGTGGCTAAGAAACTTCTTAGCTAATATCCCTTTGATAAAGGACGTATTGCCTCCTGTGTCTATACATTGTGATTGCCAGTCGGCAATAGCTATAGCAAAGAATAAATCTTATAATTGTAAAAGTAGACACATGAAATTGAGACATGATGTCATAAAGCAGCTGCCGAGAGATGGAATAATTTTTATTGATTATGTGAAGTCGGAAGTTAATTTGGCCGATCCTCTGACTAAACCTGTGGGAAGAAAATTAATTCTTAAAACCACAAAAGAGATGAGGTTAAGGCCGACATGTTTTCAATAGAGATGGTAACCCAACCTATGTGATTGGAGATCCCATGAAGTAGGTTCATATGGGTAATAACAAGTCAATATTGGCACTGAAGTACTAAAAGAGAGTGCTTAACTGCTACTAATTGGGAGCCTGAGTTATAACTCTTAATGAAATTCATAGTCCTTATGGATGGTGTATTTAAAAGCAATATACATTTGATAAATTCACCTATAGGAGAGTGGAGTGGGCCGCTCCTATGAGATTTTGGCCGAGTCTCTAAAGCTCTCATGAATAACCAGGCACGCGCATGGTCTACTGGGCGCAAAATCGCGTTGAACAGCAAAATTACCGGGGGTCAAAATGTGATTGATAAAATCTCTGACTTACAATAAGAGTTATTGGTTCATAGAAATATTATATTTCACCAGTAATTCTGTGAGTTAAATTTTATTGATCTAAGTTTGGTTTATAGTCCAGAAGACACCAAACCTATTACATTTGGACCATACAAATCCAACAAGTTTATTTTTGGGTCTTTAAAATAGTGGGGGATTGTGGCAATATTGTAAAGGCAACTGTCTTAGCCTTCTAGAAGACTATGCCAAGTGGCAAACTTGATTAGCCACTTGCTTTCCATGCACTACAAATTTACATGCAATTTCAAGTATAAATAGCCATCATTTGGCCGCACAATAATCATCCCATCAGAAGTGCTTTTCTACTTAGCCTTCTTCTCTTTCTCTCTTAGCTTCTCTTATTTACAATTTTTCTTATAAATTTTCTTTGTCCTATTCTCTTTTTAAATCTTGTTGGATTATTGTAATATAAATATTTTGCTGATTCTTGTATCCTCTAAATCAAATAGAGACGGGCTTGTTTAATTCTGGGGAAATATTTCACATTACTGAAATAGTTTCTTAGGACAGTGCCTAGCAAGACTCAAGCTAATTCATGTATCTACTTACAAAGAATATTCAAACAGTGTTATTGAAATTCTTGCTCTCATTTACTTCAAGACCCAGGTTTGAAACTCTAGTCCAACAATCAATTTTTTTTTTGATTGGGTCTCATTCGGTCAGACCTTTAATTGAATCTTAATTCCGTTCAAAGTTTAAAAATACACGCCTACTCCTTTTTCTCTCTCTTTGACATCAGGTTATTTCTTCTAAACCCAAAACAAATTTCATAGGTTAAAAATACAAGCCTACTCCCTTTTCTCTCTCTTTGACATCAGGTTATTTCTTCTAAACCCAAAACATGCTCCAAAAAATGATATGATGACTTCGCCAAAAATTCAAAAGGATATTGTGAGTGCTTGTGCACAAGAGACCGTGAAAGCTATAATTGATGACTTGGATGGAGATTATTTTGGGATATTAGTTGATGAGTCCAAGGATATTTCACACCATGAATAAATGGCCTTTGCTTTGCGGTATGTTGACAAAAAAGGCCAAGTGAACGAGCCATTTATTAGTCTTGTTCGTGTTAGTGATACATCTACAAAGTCGTTGAAAGAAGCAGTACTTTCTTTGCTAATGAAACACTCGTTAAGTCCATCCAAAATACGTGGACAAGGCTATGATGGGGCTAGTAATATGCAGGGAAAGATGAATGGCCTTAAAGCTTTAACTTTGCAAGAAACTCCATGGGCAGCTTCTGTTTATTGTTTTGCACATCAATTACAATTGACGCTTGTAGCTGTTGCTAAAAAACACTAGGAGGTTGAGACTTTCTTTGCTATTGTTACTAACGTGTTGAATATAATTGGAGTTTCTTTTAAGCGTAGAGATCAACTTCGGGATCATCAAGCAGAATTGTTGGAGCAATTGTTAGAGAGTGGTGAAGTTCAAAGTGGGAAATGATTAAATCAAGAGCGGGGGCTTCAAAGGCCAGGTGACACTCGTTGGGGATCACATTGTAAAACATTGGATAACTTTGTTATTTTATTTTCTTTTATTGTTCATGTGCTTGGGGTGATTGAATGTGAAGGTGATGTTAATGATAGGTTGCAAGCAGAAGCTTTTTCGAGTAAAATTAAAGCATTTGAATTTATTTTCTTGCTTCACTTAATGTTGAAAGAGTTGATAATGTCAAACGAGTTGAGCAAAGCATTACAGAAGAAAGATCAAGATATTGTCAATGCCATGGTATTTCTTGATATCACAAAGGAAAGGTTGCAAGAAATGAGAGATAAAGGATGGGAACCATTGATGGATGAAGTATATTTATTTTCTGCAAAACATGATATTTGGTAGTAGTATTGGTGATGCATTTTTAAATGATTGTTTAGTTTGTTACTTTGAGAAGGAAGTGTTTGTAAATATAAGCAATGATGCTATTATTGACCGTTTTCAAAATATAAACGCGTCGAGTTCAACTATGAGTGGACAATATACTTTTGTTGTATTAGTATCAAGTTAATGGTATTTGATAATATTGATGTTTTTATTTTGATGATAAATTATCATAGTCATTTCAAAGAGTTACACCCGAACTTTATTTTTGGTGATTGGCATACTAAAAACAATGGTGCCCCATAAGGCTTAAATCTTGGGTCCGCCTCTGATTGTGTAGATAAGTTTTGACAGTTTAAACAAATACTGCTATAATTATAGTGACGTATCTGACGAATGGCACAACATAATAATTTCACAATTAAAACATCCTAACTGAAATTCTAGATCAGAAAATAACGTTAGTAAACAGAATCATCATCATCTTATATCTCCGCATTTCTAAGAACCCCTGCTAGCTTCATTTGTATTGCACTGCTGTTCAAAATATCCAGTAAAGCAATTTTCTGATACATCCCATATGTGAGTATCTCTCTTTTCTCTTGAGCCGATGGTTGATTACCTCGAAAATACGAGTAATTAACAATTAAATTTGATTTGTGGTTTCAAAGATATGTGATTTAGTTCAATACCAATTACTAATCAAGAAATATGAAGTAAAAATGAAAGAGATAAGTGAATCAAACCAATTTACTTAGCAGTAGTGACCTCGAGAAGGGTCAAAAGCAATGAAGTAAGAAAAGTAAAGCAAGAGCAGTAGAGCTTAAAGGACAATGCTGACAAAAGGCAAAAAGTAGAGAGTACATTCTTTTTTCAGTGATTATGTGATGTTACAAATGATTGGGGTTCCCTTTATATAATAGGGGAACCTTAAATATGGAATATTTCTATTTAGAGTAAGGAATATTCCTGATACAGCTGTCTAACCGCCTAGTACGGAATCGTACAATCCTATTCTAGGATTTGCGCCATGATCTTGGGGACGTGGCAGGAATCTAGCTCATACTGTTACAGATTCATAACGGCACTATTTTGGGGTCGAGCATACTTGGCCCCGGTATTCCTCGTGCTCCTATCTCCGGGCATTGCACTCTGTCTTCGAGCTCGACTCTGGTCCACCGGTGTCGAACTCGACTTCACCCGAACTCGGGCCTATGACGGACCCTCAAGCCTATAAATCGGAGGCCTCTGATTTTGACCGTATACAGATAGTCCCCGCGTTTCTTAGAATAAGATGATAAGAAACGATTTGAGCCTCGATTTTCTCGAGCCTTTTATGATGACGTCATGCCCTTGATGTAGGCGCTCGAAGTGACTGGAAATGTCATGTCGACACGCTTCCCCAAAATATCAAATGCGCGCCAGTACTGTCGGCCACTAGCGCCGCCGAGCTGTCGTCGTCTTTCTATAAATATGAGGCTACTCCGTTGAACAAAGAAATGTATTCAATTCATCTTCATTTATTCTGATTCTTTCCCTTCTTTATTTCTTTCTCTAATCATCTGTTTCCATGGTTCGAACTTGTGACCTCCTGGTCGCATGGCAGCAACTTTACCAGTTACGCCAAGGTTCCCCCTTTCAAAGCTTTAACTCGAAACAACGAGAGAAGGGCGCAGAATCCTTCCCGCATCAGAAAATGTGCAAACTTCACCCTGTCGCTCATCTCTCTTAACTTCAACCTGGTGTGGCACTTCATTCCATTTGCTTTCCTTGGAGTGAGGTGGCACTATCATCTACTAACTTATGCATCCCACACCGGTACAGTGTCCCAAGGATGAATATTCTTGGATCGTTGCTCGTGCATCTTGCAACCTTCTTTGGTTTTTCTTGTGATAAAAGGTGAAACTATATCTTCTTGTCTTCCCTTCCGGTCTTTTTCTTTTGCTGCTCTTTTTTAACGGATTATGGCCCAAAATTTCAACCGAATGCTCAACCCCAGCTGCTGGATATATAGTTACATTTATTGAGAGTTTTCTGCCCTATATTTCTTCAAGCACACAAACATTTCCAAAGATCAAAATGGGGTTCCCGGGAAGGAGGTTCCCGGAGATGCCGCTCTCGAGGTCGTAGCCCTAAAAGTAGATTAGGTTCTTGGCTTTTGTTTTTTGCTTTTTTGTTCCTGTGTAAGGACTCTTCGTGGATGTTGTAAATATATTTTGTAACCATCTCTTGGAAATATAAAAGGATCTCTTTGTCTCATTTTTGGCTCGTTTGAATTCCAATCCGTCTTTACTTGTGAAAATTTTTGATTGTATAACTTTATTAGTCCGAATGCCGGACTCAGAACATAATAAACCCTTAGGTTTTTAATCGATCAACATAATACCCCTTAAGGTTTTTGTTAATCCTCGAGCTAAGCTTGAATTAATTTGATGCGAGCTCGGGATATCGGGACTCCCGAGTCCGAGTTGAGTGAGAGCAAGGTCTCGAATTTGAAATAAAGTTAGCCCTTAGGCTTTGTACATAATCCCCAAGTGAGAATTTTCTCAAACTTGGGTAGCCCTTGGGCTTAGTAGTCGAGTGAGCACTTGCTTGAACTCGAAATAAAGTCAGCCCTTAGGCTTTTTTATAGTCCCCGAGTGAGAAATTTCTCAAACTCGGGTAGCCCTTGGGCTTAGTAGTCGAATGAGCACTTGCCTGAACTCGAAATAAATCGATAAGAAACGAATTAATCTTCGACGCCTTGATCCTGATTCCAATCTCGTGATGTCAGCAGTGAAGTGATCGAAAGGTTTCTTTTCGTGTGGTTCCCAAAGTCATTAATTGGAGGAGAAAGACGGTCGGCTTTTTGGCTTCCTTAGTACGCTTAAATGACCTCTATAAATAGATCAACTTCACAATCTTGCAAACTTTATTCTCATATTGTTCTCAAAGTCTCATTAGCTCTTTCAATTTCTCTGAATTCTCCCTTCTCTTCTATTAGCTCTTGTTTCATTATCAACATTCTCCATTTTCTTGAATTTCTGCATTATAATGGCTAAGACATCTAAATAGGTTCCCCAAAAAGAAAAAGTTTCTTCATCTTCTCGATCGACCAAGTGTCACACCTCCTTTTTCACTTACTACACCCCGCGAAGGGTATAATAAAGGAGTTTTTCCAATTAAAGGACAATCGAAACGGGATTCGTTTATTAAGAAGTTCAGAGTCGCCACTTGGGAGATTTATGGTGTCCCAAGTCACCGGTTTGAATCCCGAATCGAGGAAAGGGTTTGACTCTGTTTAACAGTCGCGAACCAAAAATCCGGGTAAGGAATTCTGTTAACCCGGGAGAAGGGGTTAGGCACTCTCGAGTTCCGTGGTTCTAGCACGGTCGCTCAACTGCTATATTTGGCTAAAGTCTGATTTTAATACATGTTATCCTATTGCAATTTTAGAATTGTTTAACCGCTTTTAATTAGTTTTTATGAAAGTGAACGTCGTTTAAGAGCGTGTTTTTGGATCACGTCACATGAAATGCACCCGGATCCTTGACACCTTTTATTCAACGTTTTGGGATTTGGATTTGGGTCGCATGAAATGCACACCCGTAGTTAAGAAGGTAAAATTATTAAAAAGCGCGCCTAAAGTGGCTAGCGTCTTGTTAACTTTGCGGGAGGCCATGAAAATTCGCTAAATGGCACATCCCGAATTTCTAAAATATTTTTAATAAAGCAATTAAAGAGGGCCACGCAATTTATGATTTTATTTGGCACGGCGCGCCTCAAATTATTCCTAAGGATTTATAACTTAACTAAAGCAGACTACGATGTTCTTGAATTATTTTCTTTTTTTTAGGTCAACGGGAAGGTCAAGCAGAATTGAGTATGAAAAGGAAAATTCAATTACCATTCCAGAATACAAACTAATCCGTGGATTAACCAAATACTTTACACCCTAGATTAGTAGCTCATAAATTAATGGAAAATGAAATGCTTATTAATGCCTTCAGAAGAATCAATCAAATACTAAAACGCAAGTCTGCTGTAAAGCGTCCATGAGCCTAATGTAAGGCCTCAACATGATTTCAAAATGTCTTTACACAAACATATCACTCCAAAATCAATATGTGACCAAACTAATCTGAAATGAAGTAAGATCCTACCTCTCAAATTTGACACACTCCATATACCATACCCTTTCCACTTCGTTAGTTGGTTACTGATAACTCATAGGTTAGTTAGTAATCAAATTGGATGTGAGAAACAGTGGTGAGGAAATACTAATTTTAAAAATTGATCAAATGCTTCAGAGAAGACGAATTGAATGACGAGTTATTTTATAACTAGGAAGAATGAACAGATTCAGTAGTAAGCAATATCCAATTTAATTTTTAATATCTGCACTACTAACGATAGAAAATCAAATCACTAAACATTTGTTGTATTATAGGCTAAACACGTATTCAATTCATCATTCTAGGGACCAAATCTACTAAAATGATTGCAGCAGTAAACTCGTATTCAAGCCAAGCAAACAAAGTCATGAAGCAAATCAAACACATGTTAAAATAATGATTCACGCTTCATTACAAACCAACAGAACTCAAAATTTTGACAAATCAGTGACTTAAATTCATGATTCAATACCTGGTTGCAGAAAACAGCTAAAAAATACCATTTAAAGGGGCCAGAGAAGCGGAGGTTAGCAGACTAAGCAACGAACAGCAACAAAACTTCAAGAAAACGTTATTGAACCCAGAAATATGAAAGAAGAAGACAGCAAACTTCAAGCATGGATGAAGCCCTTTTTATCCTCTCTTTTGTTACATTCTTAGTATCGTAGACCCTGGGATTTTGATTCAGAAGGTGTGGGTTATCAGTGAGTGAAGGAGCGTGAAGAGAAGATGGATTGGAGAAGCAGGTGCGCCCTTTACTCCTGGTTTTTGCAGGAGATGAAGAAGAATCAGAAGAAGCTGAAAAAAGGAAAGCTGCCCTGTTGTTGGAGGGGGAGCTAAGGTCTTCTAGGTCCTCCAAAGTGCAGGGATTAGGTGCTGCTCAAATCCAATTAAAACTTTTCTTCAAATTCTTTTTCTTATCTTTTCTTTTTCTTTTTCTTTAATTAAAAAAAAATCCTAAAATTAAAATCCTAGGTTATCTAAAAATACGAAATTAAACTAATTAACTAATTACAAAAATTATAAAAGTTATTTAATCCTAAATTAAAAGACAAAAAAAATCAATAATAGGAAAAAGTGTAAAAATGAAGCATTTTTTGTGATTTTCGGATTTTTATAAAGCAAATAATCACTGATTAATTCTACAATGTAAAAAACAAATCCTTAATGCCATGCATGATACTTTTGGTATTTTTTCATGATTTAAATAAAATTAAACATGCGAGAAAAATGCCAAAAATTAATAAAATTCTATAAAAATTCCTAAAAATGGCAAATAATTAAAGAAAAAAATCTAATTTTGGGAATTCTGTAGGAGTATATCATGTAGGGCAAAAATCACGTGTTTACACCAAGAGTAAAGCGGTAGTGTCTACTCGTATTGAGGAGTGTATTCCCTTGCCATGTGAAATAATATCCGATTTCAAGATCGAGAAACCTGTATCAACACCAAGCCGATGCGAGCCCATGTCTCGATACGTCTGTTTGATAACCGAGGACGAGCTCCAGCAAGTAAAGAAAGACTGCAAGTGGGAGAACAAAGACGTAGTGATCCCTTCCCCCGAGGAGGACATCACTACATATAACGCGGGGTACTTAAGCGTGTATACCTATCCATTCACGCTGGGCCCCGCAATTCCAGCTCGGGGTCCCATAGATCTGATCATTCTTGACTTTTATCGATGATAAAAAGTGACGCTTGGCCAGATCTACCCTTCATTCTAGCAAATCATTCATTTGATCAGATTCTTTTCGAGTCAGGTCGAGGGGATGCCTTTCACCCTCGACCATCTGATCAGGTTGTACAGTCCACGACTTTACCGAGGTGGCTTGATAAAACTACAACGCCGATCCTTGAAATATCTCTTCTCTAGTATCGACGATGACAAAGACTGAGGGTGGATGAGCCGGTTTGTCCGAGTCAGGACCTCCGACCTGATTCTTGCTGATTGGATGTCGTTCCCCGAGGAGTGGTACATGAAACGTAAGTGCATAGTAACTTTATACCCAGCCTTCTCTTCTTTTTCTCGACTTTATCTTTTCCCTTGGTCTAACCCCTTTCCGATGGCGCAGCTACGGCTTAGTTTCCTGGTGCCGTCCCGGATCTTGAAGGTTGGGTCCGAAAACTGGCTTCCACTTCCTCGTATTCGGGGCGTTGCTGGCGAAATTTGGCCAAGGGCCGATGGGAGGCCAAAAATCATGGCGAATTCTCTTGTTTGTTTACTTGTACTTCTTTACTGGAATACTTACTTCGATTTTGTGCAGGTTTCGGAGACGCCATTGCTATGCGGCCGGCCCCGGTTGGTGAAGAAGAGATTCTAAAGAAAGGAAAAGAAAAAGGAAGTCACCAGCAAATCCCTTGAAGCCCAAGAAAAGCGCGGCTTGAAAGTCCAAGGCCGATACAGTGGCCTTATTTTCGGAAACGGCCTAACGTCTTCGGGATCAAGAGGAAGAAGAAGATGAAGACTGCATGTTGGTAGCTCGTAAAAGAGGAAACACCGGTGCTTCGAAGTCTGTCGAACCGGTGATGGTTGATGTGGTTCATTCTAGAGCTGAAGAGATCTCCGAGGGGAGTCCAAACAAAGTCCCCGAGCCATCAGGCAGTAAAAAGGCACCTCGCCTAGGAGGTCATTTGGAGGGCGAGGTCGAGGGGCCCGATCCCGAGCCCCTTCAAAGAAAAGAGAATGCCCCGAGTGGATCACTTGGGGTAATCAATGTGGATCACTCATCGCTTGGTCCCGAGTTCTCCGAGGGGCAAATCCGAGATGCTCAGAACATGAGATCTTCTGAAGTGGGGGTGAGCCACGAAGGGCATGACATCTTTCGAGAATGCCTCGCAGGGATTGAAGATGGCCCTGACCCAGATGCCTCTTTCATCTTTGATGAGGCTCGTCGACTCTTCAAACAAGTGAGTTTTCTGTCCTTTAGAATTACGTCTGCGCTTTGTTTTTGCTGTTCTGAATCTAACTTTCCCCCTTTTTTATGAAGGCTGTGGTGCTCCATAAAAGAGAATTTTCCAACTCTCGAGCTGATATTGCTCGATGTGAGGCTGAGCTTAAGAAGATCTCGGAAGAGATAGACAGTCTTAAAACCCTCTATGTCAAGAAGGAGGAGGAAATCAGCGATCTTCGAGCCGAATGGGCAAAGGCTTGCAAACAACGAACCGAGCTTACCGAAGAGGTAATATTCCCTCTGAAGTTTTGTCATTGACCAACTTGTTCGGTCTTATAACCATTTTATTTTGCAGTTTCAATGAAAGGGCGAACTGGTGGAGCAGCTTCGAGAGGAGCTCAAGATGAAGGAGGCCGAAACCCTGGGCTGGAGGCAAGGCATGGACAATCTTGCCGCTGAGAAATAAACCTTTCGGGAGAAGTTGGCTTCACTCGAACGTCAGTTCCAAAGCATGAAGGAGGAGAGCCTGGCTCGAGGCCGTGAAATCGAGGGGCTCAAGGCTAAATTTGCTGCTGAGCTGGATAAGTCCAAATTTGATGCTGAGGCAATTATGTCCTCATACCGAGCCAACGACGAAGGAGCTAATGCTCGGGCCAAGGAGATCTCCATTGCGGCCAAAGTTAAGTTATCATGTGCACTCGACCACGCTAGGCGACAGTCCCGGAGAGAAACCCTCGATGAGGTACACGCTCGCGGCTTCGATCTCTCAGCCGATATTGAAAAGGCGAAGACCTTGGAAGAAGATGCTGCTGCTTTGCTTTCTGATGAGGATGATTCAGCCAGTGGCTCCGAGAGTGGAGGAGACGAAGATGTAGTCCCCGAGGGTGAGGCCCCCGAAGATACTGCTCCTAAAGATGCAGCTGCCGAAGATATGACTCCGAAGTAGATTTAGGTTTCCTTATTCGCATTTTTTGTGCAAGTATCTGTTGGCCCAAGTAAAGGTTAGTTTTGAAGACTGACAAAGAAACTCAGGCATGAACCAGGTCCATCCCTCAAGTGCACAAAAACGGGCGGATTCGAGCATGTGGGATGCACGTGAAGGAGATAAGCTTAACTTTGTGTATTTAATATCTCCTGATCGAAAAGGTTGCATAATTGATAAGGAGAAGGACTCCCAATCAAAGAGAACACTATCCAAGATATGGAAGGAGCTAAAAGTTGAAATCAACTAGAACTCTTACACCGAGGAAGAGTTGCATCAGAACTCTAGTTATTTCTTCATCTACTAACTCTATAAATTGCAGGATGTTTTCACATTACATGGGTTGCACAAAAACGCAAAAGTTAAACGTGAATTTAGAGCAAAATAGCAAGGCTTTTTGCAAGAAATTTGTGTGTGATTCAAGTGTGCAAACCTGAAGCTACATGAACCAGATTGAAGAAACAGCTTCATAAAGAGTTTTATGTGTCTTTCTTTATTTCTAGTTCAATTGTAGTAGGTGTTTTATATTGTACCTTTCAGCTTTATCTAGAGGCAATTGTAATAGTTACTCAGAGTATTCAAGTTAGAGTTAACTTGAAGTTGTCGCAACAGTTAGACACTGTGTGCTACAACGGTATCAGAGGTAATCCTTAGTTTTACAAAGAGTTTTGTAAATGCTGTTTTGGCTCAGTGATTTAGTGAAGTGTTGAGAAAAATCCTACAGAGTAGTAGGTCGTGGTTTTTTCACTTTTTGAGCTGGGTGTTTTCCACGTAAATATACTTGTGTTCTTTACTTTCTACATTTATTATTCCGCAACAGTAGCAGAAGGAACACATAGAAGAACCAGGTCCTTCCATAATCAGTTTAAGCAAAAAATTGGTCACCACACAAATCACCCCCCCTCTTGTGTGGTATTGAAGTATAAAACATCAATTGGTATCAGAGCAGGTTATCCTTGAAGAGGCTAACACCTTAGGAACAGATCAAAATGAGCGCACCGCCTGGAAACTGGGAAGGGCAATCCACTGATAGGCCTCCACTCTTTAATGGCCAGTACTACTCTTGGTGGAAAAACAGGATGAGAGATCACATCATCGGAGAAGACTATGAGCTATGGGATATTGTCACTGATGGTCCCCTGGCTACCATGAAGAAGAATGTTGAAGGAGTAGACGTGCCAAAAACAATAGCTGACTGCAATGCTGTGGACTTGAGGAAATGGGAAAAGAATGCTAAGGCCAAGAAATGGATTGTATGTGGACTTGATCCAGACGAGTACAGTAGAATTCAAAGTTGTACCACTGCTAAGGAAATCTGGGATACTTTGCAAGTGGCTCATGAAGGAACACCTCAAGTGAAGAGGTCCAGAGGAACACTGTTGTATTCTCAATATGAGAATTTCACCATGAAGGAAGGGGAAACCATCCAAGAGATGTATACAAGGTTCACCACACTGACAAATGAACTTAAGTCTCTTGGAAGGGTTATTCTTGAAGAAGACAAAGTTGAGAAGATTTTGACAAGGGTTCTGCCAGTCTCTTGGGAAAGCAAAATCACAGCTATTCAGGAATCAAAGAACATTGCAACTCATAAGTTGGATGAGCTAATTGGAAATCTCACTGCCTATGAACTTAGAAGTCAAACCGTGAAGATGGATGCACCCAAGAAGGAAATGAGCCTGGCATTAAGAATCACTGAAGGTGCTGATCTAGAGGAGGATGAAATGACCATGATCACAAAGGATTTCAAGAAATACCTAATGAGAGGAAAGGGTCCTTCAAGAAGTGGAAGCTACAGTAAACCAAGGGTTCCTGAAAAACAAGCCAATGAGGGGTGTTACAGTGTGGGAAGACTGATCACCACATCAAAAACTGCCCTCAATGGGAAATTGAATGGAATAAAGAAAGAGCTGAACGAAGGAACAGGTTCAACCAAAGAAGAACAAAGGATCAACAAAGACTATGGTTGCTGCCTGGGGAGAAAGCTCAGATGA